GGAATGACTTTGGGCCCATATTTCTTTGCATGAGGAGCACAGTTGTTTGTTTTGTGTTTTTTTCCACAATAATAGTAATGTATCATATTTCCCTTGGGTGAAATGGGTGGGCTTTTGATAAGTGTCAATGGTTCTATGGATGTCCAGGCTCTGGGCAGTATTGATGCCTTTTCTGGAGAAAGGTGTATAAGTCCTAAATTTGGGCTCCCAGCACGCAGTTTTCAGAATACTGGGAGATGGCCACGTGCATCAAAGGGCTCTGGGATTTGGTGTCATGTTTAAGAAGAGCTCATAACTAAGGATAGAAAAGAGCAGGATACCAGGGTGATGGCTGAGCATTTAGCATGGCTATAGCATACAGCAGCCTGTTCCTAGGATGAACATTGAGGAATTTGATCCATGCTATATATTGGAGGGCAGAGAAACACCAGGAAAAGGAGAGCTAGAGAGAGAAGCAGAGGGAGCTGTGTAATATTCCAACACCTTTCAGTGAAACATTAAGTTCTTTCTTGGTCTCTCCACCCCAGCATTCAGAACACAGAATAATGTGATTATTTTTCCAAGGAAAGGTGATGAGATACACCATGAGAGACAAGTGGACTAATAGCAAGCAAAGACCAAAGCACTCAGCCCTCTCCTTTCTTTGCCTGTATGTGGCTGCAAACACATGGAACATCTAGAAAACACCTAGGTCCTCCATTTCTCCTTTCCTGAAATACCAGCACAGGAGACATTTAAAGGTTATAGTAATACTTCCTTAATGCTTTGACATAATTTAACCCACTCCCTCCCCCACCCCATAAGCTGTGAGTTTGGAGATGGAAGGTGTAAAAGCGGCCCAGGATTAGAAATCTTCTTGTCATGGCTCCAGGAAATTTCTACATTCCTGGTACCTAAGAACTAACCTCTGCCCTATCTGCGATTTAACATTAATTTCTTATCTCCTACTCTCTCAGCTACGTGATAGCAAGGAGATTCTCACTTACAGGAACAGTCTGCCTGGGAAGGGATGTCCTAGAAACCTGGAGGTGTGGCAGACAAGCAGATGGGGATGATGAGAGGATCAGCCCTCTAGGACTGGAAAGATGCGGTGGGCTGTGTAGGTAGGGACATAAATGTGTGTTTTAAAGAGGCAAAGCTTTGCATACTGGCTTCATTGGGTATGTGAGGATGGTCTGAATAAAAAAATGGACATTTCTGACTATGTCCTTTTATAGATGTTTGGTTCTTCATCCACCTGCCTCAGTGATACCTTTTTGACATTACAGGATCCACAATTTGTGTAAAACTAAGTGAATCAGAGGACATTTTCTCTGTGTAAATGGCAATACATTGCATGTACCCTAACAGTATCATGAGTAAGTCAGTATTAAGTATTAGTGTGAGTTCACTTTACACATAAATATGTAAATGAAGGGTAGGAGGATGGTGGAATACTAATATCTGAAACCTATCCCTACCAGAGCTGATTTCTGGCTGGGAACTCTAGATTCCATGCAAACACTAGTAATAATAGTGACTTTATTCTAGCCACGATACTACAGCCAAGATGTCATGAACACTTGGGAGATAAAGACAGACAGATTTCTTGTTTTCCACTGAGATGGTTTTGAATGCATCCTGGCAGGGCTGACTCACCCTTTCAGTTTTCCAAGGAAGACAAATTACTTTCCAGGAGCTTCTGCTGTATACAGGTTATTTTTGAGCACTTCTTTAATTAAGGTTTATCTGCTGTTCACATAATCCACAGATGAAAAGCCCTTGGGGCCTTTTTTTGTGTGAACAGAAGTTTTCCCCTGAACAGCCTGTTTCTCACCCAACCCATTGTTATACAACATGGCACAAATACTTTACGGATACCGTGTCCTACCCCAGAAGTAGCTGCAGGCCAGTAGCCTGAAAATAAAGTAATTTCAAATGCCTGGGATGCATTACGGGGAAGAAACTGAATAGAAACAGGATTCCTGAGGGCCACAGTTGGCACAGACAAACTATTAGCACATTTCTTTCATCCACAATCTTGAATTCCACCTCTGTCCCCTGTCTCATGTTTCTTATCTTTTGTATCTGAAATTATGCTGAAAGCACCCTACTGGAAATACATTTTGCAGTTGCACAACTTGGGATCTGGCAAGGACTCCAATGGATGTCATCCCAACTGGGAGAAGAGAACAATGATATCACTGGAATAGCAAAAGAGCCTTTTAGCTCTGCCATGCTGTAGGTGCAGGTGAGAGGTTTTGTTCTGACCTCCCTGGGGAGAAGCGCTCTCCCATGCCCTGCCAGGTCAGGGGCTGACAGGGACACAGGGCCAACCCTGTGGCTCACTGTGCCCGGGGCTCTGGCTAGCAGGGGAAAGAGATAAACCTTTACAGGGCTGCATAGCCTAGGTAACAGGTCAGCTCTGGAGTCAGAGTCATGCAGCAGTCCACCTGTACTAGCTTAGTCTTGGTTGGTGTAGGAAGTATGTGGGTTGTGAGAGCAGCAAGGCCAGTGGCAAGAGAGATCTCCCTTCAGTCAATGTTTTTCTTGTTTGTCCAGGGATTAACAATTTTGTCACATTCACTAATGATTTTGCAGGAATCAGGCATGGTGACTGGACCCTTAAGGGCTTGTAGTTATGCATAAATTCTCTTTCCTGTCTCCCAGTCTTGCTGCTGTTTGAGACTAGCCTCAGTCCTTGGGGAGAAGGAGTCAAAGCTACAGCATCTAAGTGTTATACAGTTCTCTGAAGGAGTACCAGTCTATTTTCATGTTGCTGTGGCTACGGTATAATGCTGGCATATCCAAGCTCTCCTTAAACCAGCTAGTTCAGGTATTACCAGTCAGGTTGCCACAGCAACACAGGACTTACTGCACGCTGCAAAACTTGTCTAAGGAACAGGATGGATGAGGCTGTGGGGAGCTCTGCACTATCTGGCTAGTTTAAACATACTTCCAATTTGTTTCCACCTCCTTGTGCTGAAGTAGGCTGAAAAGCTTACCCAGAATCTGAATAACAGTGTTGAGCTAGCTATGCAAGGCACATGAGTGGTTGCAGGCTGCTGGTGCCTGTATCATCTTTGCACACAACCATCACCTGCTCTCTGACAAGCTGAGACAAACACGAAAAACCCACTTTCCATACTGTGTCATTTAATGCACTTGGTGAAGTGTAGACATAATGCTCACCCTGTGATTAGTGCAACAACCATTTTGTCCCTGGGCATGATCAGGAGCACAAAAACTTCTTGTGCAGAATTCCGTTTATTAATTCAATTTATATATTAATTCACAGCCTTTTTCTCCCCCCTGCATAAGCATCCTGTGCCCTTCCTATCGCGCTTCCTGCTGTATCTGGACCCATCCACATCCCTGCACATCTGTGGGTGGAGTGGCTCTTTTCCTTGGTGATTTGGGGCTGCTCACTCCTTGGCCACCACACCCACTTAAGGAAAGATGGGCACCAATGCAAGGGTGAGGATCTGTGTTCACTGGGGACCCAGTGGAGCACAGTGGGTACCATCTCTGGCATGGCAGTGGACACAAGATTTGTTCCCTGGTTGAGCATCACTCCCACATGTGCTTCACCTTGTCCTGTGCTGTGGAAATGATCACTTCCAGTCTTTTCCCAGGAATTGCTGCTGCTGTGGCCACTCTTCTCTCCCCCTCTCCACAGGCATGATGTTTCCAGTGGCACATCTGCACATTGCAGTGGCTTCTTCTCCCTTCTTCCTGTCTCACTTTTATTGAACGTGTTTGTAGGTTGTCCCCTCTCTCTGCTCTTCTGGTCCAGAGCCTTTCCCCAGATGGCACATCCCAGTTCCAGTGGCCAAAGTTCCCTCTTCCCATGCAGGAGTGAATGCTCCTATCTTTCCCAGTCAGCTTGTTTTCTTTGTTTTGTGACCTGAGCCAGTGATGGAAACCAGGTGCAGACAGCAAAGAGACCAGTGGCTCTGCTATTAATTCCACTGGGGAATTAATAGTTCCCCAATGGGACTATTAATAGAACAGTGTTCTTTCATCAATATGCAGCTGAGCTGCTGCTTGCCCAAGGGCTGCTAAATTATTGGGGTGAAGCGTGGTCTGTCCTGTAGATTTAGAGAAGGTTTATAAGCTGAGCATTATCTCTCTGCAGCAGACCAGCGTGAGGCACAGGCTCTGTCCTGGTCCCATTTAAGGTTTTAATGCTCGATTTAAGTCTAAAAAAACGCGGGGAATGCCTGTTCTTTGTTGTAAGGCTGAATTCCCCCCAATAGTCAGAGAAATAATAATAGTCAGCTGAAATTGGAAAGAGTGATATTAATCTGCCTATTAATCCTTCAGTGAAACCATAGTGGAGAGCTAAGGCAAAGCGCTTGGAGCGCTCTCAGGCAGGGTGATTGTGAGGAGCACACCCTCCTCACAATATCTGTGTGTGTATGACAGCACGGAACTGCGGCGGGGAGGGCAGCAATCCTATCCTCTGTTGGCAATCCAGAGCCAAAAAGCTATAAAAGACAAAGCACTTGCTGTCATTAGAGTCACACACCTGTGAAACAAGGTGTCATTAAAAAGAAACACCGACTTGAAAGCAGAGGTGGATTTGGAAGGACTGTGAAAATCTCCCTCAGGAGGGTGTTTTGAGAATGAGTAGGGGAAAAAAAAATTGGTATGTTTCAAAATGAATGGAAAAATAAATCATGGGAATAGAGACAACCCAGCTGCTGAAAGCCTTTCCACACAGCCAAGATGCTCTCAGCATTGCTGACAGAGATGATGAGGTGTTTTAAATTTCTTTTACAAATCTCTGGTTGGAGGTTTGGCTGGAGATGTAAGTCTGTCCAGTCTCAGGATGAAATTAGGGCCACCTGGCTCCAAACCCATACCAAGTGGAAAGGCTGTTTTGAAACTTTTCACTCATTAGCAGGAGGGGAAACTGGGATATTCTCAATAAAATTAGAACATCTGCTACACCTGGAGAAGTCTTAACTTATCTCCCTCTTTTCTCCTCTGCCCTTCTCCCTTGTTCTTCTTCAAAGGTTGAAAAAAATGAGGACGGAGACCAAAAGATCGAGCAAGATGGCATCAAACCAGAAGATAAAGCTCATAAGGCAGCCACCAAAATCCAGGCCAGCTTCCGCGGACACATAACAAGGAAAAAGCTCAAGGGGGAGAAGAAGGGAGATGCCCCAGCATCTGAGACTGATGCCGCCGACAAGAAGGAGGAAGGCCCTGCCGGCGGAGCGGCCGAGAACAAAGAAAGCGAGGCTCCTGCTGCCACAGAAGCGGCTGACAGTGCCCAGCAGGAGGAGGGCAGCAAAGACAGCAGCGCTCCAGCGGAGGAGAAAAAGGGAGACGGAGCCGCCGACACGGGCTCAGAGCAGCCGGCCCCACAGGCTGCCACTCCTGCCGCCTCCTCGGAGGAAAAGCCCGCTGCTGCCGCTGCCCCCGAAAGGGAAAGTGCCACTAAAGCTTCCACTGATAACTCGCCGTCCTTGAAGGCTGACGAAGCCCAAGACAAAGAGGAGCCTAAACAAGCCGACGTGCCTGCTGCTGACACCACTGCCACCACCACCCCTGCCGCAGAGGATGCTACTGCCAAGGCAACAGCGCAACCCCAAATGGAGACAGTGGAGAGCAGCCAAACCGAAGAGAAGACAGGTGAGTGAGTGCCTCCCTAGGGAACTGGCCTCTCCAGAAATGGATACCACCCTCGGTCTCCTGGGAACAACAGCTGGTGTGGGGATCAGCTCGAGTTAACAAGGGAATCCCCTTGCCGGTTTTTATTGCTGGGGGAGATTAATTTCTTGCTGCTTCCAATCAGCTTTTGGAAATACTGCAGCTCCTGCTGAGGTTCCTGTTCCTCTAGATGGAGGTACTGTCAGCCCTTTTTCCATGGTGGCAGGAGAGTGTCTTCCAGCTGGGAGGCTTGGAGGGAGAGCTCCCCAAGCTCTGCATGTGCTAAAGAGAGTGATGAACCTTCTCAATCATACCAGCACAGGCAGCTCCAGTGGGGCAACCTGGCCAGGTCACTGGAAGTGTTCAGCTTTAGCTGAGAATCTCACAAAACAAAAGCTCTCTCATACTGCAGGAGACCTTGCTGGTGGGACGGTCCTGGAGACAAAAGGGTCCTTCTTCCATCTGCTTGCGTATGGATGAGATTCTTAGTACAACCACATCCTAGTCAGGAACATTTTATTATCAGCGGTGCTTATAGTTTCATCCAATACCCACAGTTGTATGGTCTCTACTTGGAGTACCCCATGCCAGGCAAGCTTGCATGAAGCTTTTAGGTGTGTCAGCTAATTCAGACTGAGAATCAGATAGGGGAAGGAATGATTAAGGGCCCTGGGAGCTCTGACTGAGGACAGAAGAGAGGATTGAATACCAAAAGTCACTCTAGGAGGTGTTTTCAATTCCTCACTATTGACCGAGTGCAAGTCTGCTTAACCAGTTCCCCTGGGAAGGGGTGAAGAGTTTTAAGAGGCAAAAGTGGACATTTTTTGACAAACATATAATGTTTACAAACCATAAAGAAGAGTTGATTATAAATTCTGATACTGAGCTGACTAGAAGATGCATCAAAGATCTGAGGATATTTTTCTCCCTTGTTCTTGACCCTTCTTACTTTATCAAAGAAATAGAACATAAACAAAAAAGGAAAAGGTAACATAAGGAGGTAGGCTCCACATGAAACTCAATTAAGAGGCAGCAAAACAGGTACTCCACATTCATGAAATACTCTCTTGTACAGGGCAGCCTGCATTCATTAGCTTGTTGGGGGAAAATGTTGCATATCACCTTGATGTTCATAAACAGCCTGATGTAAATTTTAGAGAGCCTCAGCAGTCAGTCTTGTACTTAGAGATGTTTCTCCATGATTTCATTTTGCCCACTACTTCTCCTCCACAAATTGCAGCTCCCACTCTCCAATGAGGCTTCCAAGCTTCCTAGCTAACTTGGGCCTTCAGGCAGCTAATTCTATTCCTGCTCAACAGAAGGGGACAGACAGGGAAGAGCAGATATCCAAAAGGACAGATTAAATACTGGGAGAGGAACTCATGCAGGAAATTTGTGATTGAAGGGATGAGCAAGGGGAGCAGCCTTCAAGACTGTGAGTCTGAACTGATTGTAGACAACTATTTTTACTTATTTAGAAGTGTCTAGAAATAAGCCTTGAAATTGAATTGTTCATGTTTCCTTTTTGTTGTCCAGGTCTCCAGCCATTTGTTCTTACTTTATATGATGAGTTAAACTTAAATGTTTTGTGGCTAGTGAAATATTATTTACTATGTTGCATACTGTACTTGTGTTGGTTTTATACTTGGGCAAAGGTATAAGCATCAATGGCAAGAATAGGGCAGGATGAATCTGTGTTTTGGGGTCCTCTGTACACAGGATAATGAATGCTAATTCCCTATTATTTAAGACCTGGGATGCCTTATTCCTGAGCAAGAATGATTCTGCTTTGACTTGACATTCCATTTTTATTCAGATTAATATGCTCTAATGGATAGAGGTAAGACATTTATAGTTGCAAGCTATTTGATTTTAATTTTAATTTATTTTTCCTGTTTTGAGTTGTAACGAAAGAATGGTTTGTTTCTACACAATATTCTGAATAATTTTCAGATATCCTCTCCATGCTCTTGTTGGTTTTAACATCATTTGAAGTGGCCAACCATACATGGACACATCATTTGAAGTGGCCATTTAAAATGCACAATTTAATATGCATTTGCACATGATACTATTACTTACGTAAACATCTAGCCAACAGAGGAAGCTGGAAAATCTACAATCAAATACATATTTAGAAATGAGTTCTCAGTGATTGAGTATTCAAGACCAATATGTGCATCCATTTATACTTACTCAGTATGCATGCAGTGACACTCAAGCTTAGCAATGTTTGCAGAAAGCAAACATGGAAGGTGCGTGGCCAGAGTCAAGCTGATAGCCTCTTTAAAATGTTAATGAATATAGATTTTTCTTTAATTCCTATTCCAGTATGATATCAGCCTTCCAGTCACAAACCTGAACAGCTGGCTAAGTGACCCCAGTGTCATCCAAGAAAGAAATGCAAAAAAGATTAAATAGGTCTCCTTGTACCTCTCTCTGAGGATTCCAGGCTGTGCTCTGCAATACACTCTGTAGCACAGTGTCCACAACAGTAGGAAGCTGCTTCCTTCTTAAAGAATATTGTTCTGAAGAGCATCATCACACTACAAAAGTACCCACAGACAGGAAATATTTCCTGACAAAAAGCCCGTGTTTTCTTTTTACCATCTTCATCCTATTACTCTCTCATATCTTTAAACCTCTCTGTCTCTCTTGTTACTTACTCTTTCCATAGACTTAAACACATTTGCCAGGTCTCAACCTTTCTCCCAGTCTTCCCCCAGCAAACACAGCACTGGTGGTTGCTGGTCTGACTGTGATGGTCATTCATGTAAGCGGGGACATCTGCCACTTCAGTGCTCCTCCAGCCCAGGGACAGATCCTCTTTCAGCTTCATCTGTCCCCTTGGCCTCCAAAGGTCACCTCTTATCGTTTCTGTGATCGAAGACTGGCACAGTAGTGTGCAGTGTTAGGCTGCCAAAAATAAATCAAACTGGCTCCTGGCCAGTGTCATCGGTTGGCTGGTTGCCATGGCATGCTTGGCTGCTGCTACCCTGAGGCGTGCCGACCGTGCTGCTTCGGGGTGGTGGTGTTCATCTGCCTTGAATTTTACTACAATGGCTCTATCATGCTATCTGCAGATACCTTCCCTGGTGCAAGCACAAGCAAAAGGCATTTAATTCATACCCAGGAGAGATTTTTGTCTTTATCTATGGGCAGGACAGAAAAAAGGTAGGGTGTGGGGAAAGGAATAACTAACCAGATAAAGAAAAGTGCAGAATTTTTAATGTTCAGTATTTCTGGGGTGGGGAACAGAGTGGTTTTTTTGTACCAGTCAGTAGTTCCCCTGACAGCCCTCACCTCTCTCCTTGTTACTCAGTTCTACATGCTCTGTCTTTTGGTAGTGGCCTAGGAAACAGCTTCAAACAACTGTCCTGTACCCAACAGCAGTTGATCTGGAATGCTGGGCATTCCCAGCTGTACAGCAGGACAGCTCCTAAGCAATCCTCAGAGTATCTAAAAGTAAAAAGGAGATGGATTCCAACCTGCGTAAGGCATGAAATGAGTCAGTGGGCTTTGTTCAGTGGCAATGAAGGATTGATGTAAGAAGGACAGTCTCTCAAATCTCTTCATGTCTTTTGGTGGATAACAGGAATGCCAAGAAGTCTTGCCATCTGAGCATCCTTGGCAAGACTTAGGTTTGTAGGTTTTCTTCTTATGATCCAGCTTTTTGCTCTTTGGTGTTAGTATTATGCTTCGAGAGGCTCCCTTAGATGCCAACCTACTCAACAGAACAAAATCCAAAAGTGATGGGGGGAATTTATACATTACATATGGATGAGGAAGTGAGACTTGTTCTAATCATGGTTGCATTGGCTTAAATCCAAGGAATCTCCATGAAGGTTACTGAAAAGAGTCTGGTAGCACAACTTTGAAATGAGATCAGCATCCAGCACAGCAGACTATGGAAGAAGATGGGCTATGATATCCTTCTTGGGAGGAGAGGAGGTGAATGTCACACAGTGTTAGATTCGATTTCTGCTTTCACAAGTTTCCAAGTCTCACCTCCAAATTTGGTTGGCTCTCACATCAAAGCACTCTCAGATTGTCAGGTAAGAATACAAAGCCCAGAAATGTGAAAGAGTAAATTGTGCCTAAGGAAACAAATGGATCTTCTTTTGTTGGGAAATGAAGAATGTTTTTCCTGCTTCATGAAATAGCTTTGACAATGGAGCAGCTTCACAGCTGAAATGAAAAAATCAGCCAGGTGACAAGTGCTTTGGATGTAAGTGGGCTAGCAGTTCCCCCAGGGCCCTGTATCCTGCAAGCAAGGAGCACTGGGAGGCACCAGCTTCCCTCCACTTCCTCAGAGGGAACAAGTCCCCGTGGATCCTTTTTCATGGTTTACAGTTGAATCAGTTCTTTGTTTTCAGTTCAGTCCCCCTAGTGATGGAAGGACAATGCTTGCTGCACTTTGGGAGCACTGGCTGTATAAAGATTTGGAAAGGGAGACTTGTCTATTGTCTTGTGCCAGCCAGAACGTGCAGCCTGCTCTATGCAAGAGGATTGCAGCTGTGTGACTTGGAATTTCAGTCTTGGCCCACGAGTAGCTGGCATGAGGCAGAACAACCTCACTGCCATTCCTGTTTCAAGGGAGCTTATCTCTGCTGCTACACCTGGCAGCCACGGAAAGCAAGGCAAACAGAGTAGTCTTCCCATGGCTGCCCCAGAGGGAACAACTCTAAGCAAGCATGGCATCATTTTCTTGTCTGTAGAACTACTCCAGCAACAAAGTAAGACTATATAAATGCAGTTTAGGTTGCCTGACACATCCTGATGTATGAAGTCTAGTTCTCAGTTACTCTGAGATTTTAATCTTTGCATTGTGTCTACGTGGGTATAAATTGCCTATTTCAGAGCTGGGCTCACATTGGTGCAAATAACCTTGTGAGGAGCAGGGTGAGAAAAGTGGAATGTCACAATTTTCCTACACACAACCTGGAACAGCTGCAGGATTTCCTCCTCTATTGCAGTGCAAT